ACCGCTGAGAACTGAGGGATTGGGCAAAGAAATATTTCCAGGTCTGCTATCTTGTTCAGAGGCTGAGTCTATAAGCACTGATGGAACTGGTCTGGTTGCTTCAAGAGATGATTCAGATTGGATGTCATGCTACAAGAATACATTATTTGAAGATTAAGATTAAACTTTGTCGTCCGTTCGTTCCCATGAGAGCTAGACTAACATGCTAAAAGTTGGTCTTTAGGAGTTGACCTCTGCTTGTACTCATAAAAGTTGTGTTTGACTTTCCACTGGTATTTTAGATCTCTAGTGTTGAATGTAATGTACTACCTTTGGTCGTTAATATAAAAATTAGTTTGATATTTAATTTAGTTCTAAATATAAGACCTCAATTCAAGTTATTTCTCATATTTATTCATTTTTTCGTAAGATAATTTTTGTAATAGTTGCATACTTGCATATGTTAAATGTTTCATTAAATGAAAGTTCTAATTAATATACATCATTCGCAAGTATATTTTAGAAAAGATAACAACTATTACTTTCGGTCCTAATTATAGGACCTTGTTTGTAGATTACAAACAAGGTCTTATAATTAGAACTGAAGGTAGCATTTAGCATAAATAACTAGCTTAATTAATTTGCTTAATCTATTCAAATTAGTCAATTAGTTCTTATATTAAAGGCTAGAGGTAGTATTTACAATAAGATTATCTCGAATCATTGAAAGGGAGAATGTTAGAGTGGTAGTTGAGAAAATAAGGGCAAAACATTCAACAAAATATTCAACTTGCACTTGAATATGGGAGGATTAGCTAAACAAAAAATTTATGCGAGACTTTGTTATCAACAGGAAGAATGACAATTTCCAAATTGCATACCAAACATAAGCATTTTAAATTTCTTATAACACGATATGTGATATAATCTTATTTTATATTAAAGATCATAAAATTCCAATGAAATGCTGCAAGTCTGTTTGCCAACTTGGCAACACTCTGTTCCAGTTTCACCCAATATCTGATTTCTATGGTATAATGGACAGGATTCTTCCAGTTTGGCAAAACTCTGCAAGTCTGTTGAAGGCACAAATTCATGTCACAGATGCTGGGATGGTATGTATGTAAATTCTAATTCTAAAAGAAGAAAACTTGACCCAAAACTAGGGATTATTCAGTCACGAAAAGGGTCGAGGGAGCCGAGTTAAGCAAAAAGCCATTGAGTAAGAGGCGGCAAGGAAAATCTCAAACCAATAAAAAGGTCCCGTCAAGTATACCTCTTCGCTGTTCAGCCAGGAAGGCCAAATGCTTGCATGTGCAAAAGAAAAGGAATGTGGGACCTAAAAAAAGCAAAGAAAAGTAAATCAAAGAAGGGGGCATCTAGGAAGCCCAAGGAAACAACTTCTCATTCTAAGACAGCGGTAACTTCTGAGCGTAAGCAAAGAACTCATGTGGGTAACAGTTACTGGCTTAATGGTCTTAGGTTGTCCACAAAGCCAAGTGATGAACGAGTAATGCTGATTAAGGAGAAAAAAGCATCTTGCCCCCTCAGAAGGTTTTTCTGGCACCTTTGATCGACCTCAATGCCATCTTTGTTGTGGAGATGGGTGCACATTGAATTATATTGCTTGTGAAATCTGTGGGGTGAAATGATAGAACATCCATGAAATGGTCGTATTATCATAATTACACCTGAATTTATGATGACAAGCATTTACTGGTACTTAATGCCTTATCTTATGCTAGGTTTTTTGACAAAAAGAATACTCCTCTGGTCCTATTTATAAGGCAGAGAGAGAAGGTTTTTTTTGGTCCTATTTATAAGTCACCTCATTAAATTTTTACTATGACTTTACCATGTTGTCCTTCATTTATTATAGTGTAGATAGTTATTTTTTTGAAAAGGGTATATATTAAATAGGGGTAAAGTTGGAAAGTTGCTATATTTTAATGAAGAGTTAATGCAGTTTAAGGTTTTTCTTGGTCTGTGTGAAACTTGTTGGAAATGCCTTATAAATAGGACAAGAGGAGTATTTATTAGCGGTCAACTGTTTGTAATCTTTTCTTGGAATAATTTTCTTGTGAACAATTTTCACATAAAAATGAATATTAACTACTTTTGAACCATAATTTTGGATGATTTGGTCTTTTCCTTCATTAATAATATGACTGAATTGTTTTGTTAGGATTCTTTAATCAAAAGAGGAAGTCACAAAGCCCAAAACATTGCTTGTGAAGGATTGATGTACAACTAGGACAGAATTTGACTTTGATCCAAATGATATTTCTTATTGCGTTTATATCTATATATATGTATACATTAAAAGTATGTAAAATAATGTATTATGCCATGTGCTCCTCTCACTGAATATATTTTCCTGCTGCTAGTATCAATTCACGTGTGATGCTATACGATCACCTGCTACTCACTAACCCTATCTTAGAAAATACTACTTCTGGTCCTTAAATATAAGAGATCGTTTAGCTTCTATTTTAGTCCTAAATATAAGACCTTAATTCACTTTATTTTTTATATTTATCTATTTTTTTTCCTAAGTTAGTCCTTGTCATAATAGTAGTTCTAGCCAAATATACTTGATTAGCAAAGATATTTTAGGAAAGATAACACTTATTTATTACAAATAATTAACTTAACTAGTTTTCTTAATCTATTCAAATTAGTCAACTAGCTCTTATATTAAAGACTAAAAGTAGTATTTACAATAGAAGCAAAGATATTCCCATACTTCCCCTCAAGTTGGATGTTATGAGGTATGTAACCTGGATTTGGGAATAGAGGGAAGGAGGAGAGAAAGAGAGGGAAAACAGAGGAGAAGAGAGAAAAACAGGGAGAAACAGCGAGAGAACTGAAGAACTGAGTCAAACTGCCGTATTCATTCAAACGGTCATAGTCTACAAATGACTTGAATGGTTCTGTTTATAGAAGCGTTAATATCCCCTTCCAATGGCCAACTAAGTCCTGAATATATTTATATTATTGTTATGATTATATAACATTGGATCATAGTTATTGATCATAACCAATTATGCATTCGTCAAAATTTTTCGTTGGAGGTCCCTTGATGAGAAAATCATCAACTTGTTTCTTTGTTGGCACGTACATTAGGCACATTATTCCGTGATGAAATGTTTGTCGACTCTGTCTTCTCCTCTTTTCCTGCATGTGGGGGCTCTATTCTTGCAATGCAATCAAGAACCCATCGGGGGAAGCCATTGCTTTAAAAGTTTAACTTGTTAAAATCCCACCCTCACAAATGAGTTAGGCAATCAGCTACTTCCGCTGCTAAATCACCTGTAAAACACAGCTGATTAGGATAAATATACAAGGCCCAATGATTTTTAGCTTGATTGGCTTCCAAGCCTTTTTCTCATCTCATCTTCGATAGTGTGACTTGGCTGCTCCATACAGAAGTAAATATATTATGTGACATTGGATCAGACACTCTTTTCTCTTTTAAAGTCAAGTTACATATAATTACCAAACTGGAAAAACTCTATCCAGATCAATTAGTTCTAACGGAGGCCTAAAACTAGACCTTTTTTTTTTTTTTTTTTAAATATCGTCATATAAGCACTCAACGTTTGTCATGTGAATGTGAATGTGTTTGTGTGTGTTCTCTATTGATTGTACATGATCTAATAGATGTCCTGTGGCGGTCCGCAAAGCTATCCACTCGATGATCATATATAGCAAGTTTGTATTAAATTCTTATATCTGACTTTATTGCAGGTTTGATGATTTTTATGGAAGGGATATACAATAGGACAGCAGACGCCATTTGCTTGCAGATCCTTTTTCTTCTTGCAGGAGAATGTTGCTCCTTCATCAGTTTTATTCATATTTAAAAACAAAAAAAGAAAAGGAAACAGAGAAAACTAACCAGTTTGATAGTCGATGTCACAAGAAGAGAAACGATTGATCCATCAGAATATTGTGGTGCAGCATGCTACCATTTAGAGGGGAAGAAGAATAATGGCAAGGACAAACATGTTAGAGAGTTCATACATTAATTGCATTATTAATGATTGTTAATCTAATCCATGTGTATTAATTGTAGTTACATACATTCTTTCTCATGTAAGTCATATTGGAATGATTCCCTGGCTGTCCTTTATATTTAAACCTTTTGAAGAAATCAAATATATGATCATAGCATAGCTTACTTAGCAAAGAGGAATTATAGCTCTGCATGAATGTTTTTGGAATGATAAAGTATGAATACTAATTCAAAGAACGAAACAAAGAAGAATATAATTTGAAGTTCTGTCCAATAATGCATTTTGATATTTCATAGAAACAAAAACCCCACCATAATTTAAGAGATTAAAGTCTTTCTAGGCTTTGTAAAAAGGAGATGTTACCTAATAGCCATTTATTTAGGAACAGGCATCGTAGAATATTGTTGACCACTGTCCACAGGAAGTACCCTTGACCACTGCAAAAACCAACACTATAAGCTTCATCGTACTTTCAAAAATATCATTGGTTACATATATAGGGTCTCAAACTTCGTTGAGATGAACAGAAATTCAAGTTAGGGACACTCCAGCTTACGTGAAAGTCTGTCCATTTTATTGATCCATAAATATCTTTCATGTCCAGTAACCAATTTAATCTGTTTTTCAAACTTAATCTCTTCCAGCAAAACAGTCTACTGTTAATATAACCATTTCTCAATATCATTGACAACCCTTTGAATTATTTTAATTCAAGTTTATAAATTTATTTAACGTATATATAACTTATTTAGTTAATTCATATCCAAGGTGAGATTTATTCGTACTCTTAGCTCACACCACCCACCTCCATCAATTTTTCCATAAGTGATTGAACAACCAGATTATTTGGATTCGATTCTCATAGAAACAATTTTGAGAAACATACAAACATTTCTATTAGCAAAGGATAGCTTGGGAAAATTTAGTACAAGTGGATAGCTCAAATAAGCTATCAACAGTATTACAGCGCACATATCCCACAACAAATAAATAGCGCACATATCCCACAACAAATAAATAGTCCAGTGATTGTATTAAAAACCTCTCAAACTTTATTTGGTCTTTCAAAATAAGCAAAGGAAGCATTATTAGAGATTTCTATTAGCAATGTTTTGCTCAAACTGGCTTCCTAGGACTGACCATTTATGATCAACCTGAAACAGTTGTTGCCGGGACTTTCTTTCATCTTCTGCCATCTCGGACTTCTCTTTCCTCACAGTCTCGAACTCTTTCTTGAACTCTACTGTTTCTACAATATGTTTCCTCTTCTGCTCTTGCAGAGAAAATAATTCAGCCTCACAATCCTTTTTCACTTTCTCCAACCTAGAGATCTGCTCCTTCAACCTAGCTTCGTTCTCTTCAGCTTCATCCATAAACTGCTGGGTCTCGGACATTTTGGAAACAAGAGCAGTGGCAACCTCCTTTCGTTGAGTTACCTCCTCCTTGATCCTCTTATCTCTTTCTTCAAGCTCTGCAAATTTATTAACAGTAGCAAATGCTTGCTTGAAAGATGACAGAATGTTAGGCAACTCTTTGTGCATAGACTTTATTATAGCCATAACTTCATGGGATAGAGCTTCATCTTCCAACGAAAGGCGAGACAAGAAGTTGAGAGCTGTTTGAAGGCGAAGAATATAGTCCTCTGATGTTGCTATGTCCTTAAGAGGCATCTTCAAGTAGTCTTCCAAGTCACTAAGGGCCTTTGCAACAAGCTCATCTTTAGCAGCAGCAACAGCAGTAGGAACAGATGATGATGTTGGTGTTTTACCACTATAATCATCCTCCATGGATTGAAGCATGTTGATGAGATCATCATCTTCCAAGTCTTTAAGATTTGTCACAGGAATCACCTTCCCATCCTCTTCAACATCTGATTTCCTTGTGTTGAACTTGATTTGACCATGAATCTAAGAATAAAAATTGGATTTGAAAAACAGCACACGAGTCCTAAGCTACGACAATATTTTCCATTATGCTAGGATAAAAGCTATATATACAAGTATCTTAACTTCTTTTCAATAAAAGCTATGCATATCTCTTGCTTGATTCTCACACTATTGCTAGCAATTGTGTAGCAACAAAATCATAAATCATGACTATACATAACACTCAGAAAATTTGATAATTCCCACAAAAGGTATCATTATATTTGGACCTTGAAAAGCAGATTGCTTACATGTGGAAGCGTGTTTGCCGAAGAAGTAACTAAGATGTCAGGCAGCGAGCCTGCTAATTTTGAATGAGTTGAAGGGGTAGCTATCTCAGCATTCCAAGATGATGGAGAACATTCAATGCTTCCTTTAACATCCTGTAGAGAAATAAATTAAAACCTGTTATATGTCATCTCACATATGAGTCTAAACTTCAACAACATTTTCCATTATACTAAGATATAAGCTTTATATAGAAGTCTTTTTAACTCATTATCAAACCATGTTTCATTTAAAAAGCTATATACATATATTCCACTCGATTCCCATATCATTGTTGGCAATTTTATGGCCACTTGATCATGAATCATGACTATATATAATACTCAATAGTTCTATAAGTGCCAACAAAAGATATCACGTTTGGGCCAAGAAAAGTATTAGAAAGCTTACAAGTGGAATTGTGTTTGTTGAAGAAATGGCTAGGGTTCCAGGGAGCAAGCTTGCTAATTTTGAATTAGTTGATGAGGTAGTTATCTTAGCATTCTCAGATGATAGGGAACCTTCAAAGCTTCGTTTAACAACCTGTAGAGAGATAAATTATGATCTGTGAGTTTTACAGTATTTGAATGAATTTGTAGAGAGTTGAATTTTATCCCCTACATTTTCCCTTGATACGGTTTCCTTTTGAGCACTCTGAACTTCTAGATCTCTAATAATCTACATCGCCCAAAAGGAAGAAAAAAGGGAGAATAAGTTGCTCCATATATATGAATGATGTTTGCATTACTTTGATTTCATGAGGAATTTCATTTTTTGTAATTCTAATTTTTTCAAGTGATTGTTGTTGGTCCTTCAAATCCGATTGACTGGTTGATATCGTATTGACCAACTCCTTATATATAAAAATCAATGAACATATAGTCAAAATCAAACAGGTTAGTCTACTTATTTGCAAATACTCTTGTAGTCTAAGAGGCTTTTAGGACACTCACAGTTTCATCATGAGGTGTTTTAGGTAGAGATATATCTACAGGATTACTTGTTGACGACTTGCCAACCGATTGAGGAGGTAAGGATGAACTTGGCATTACCGCAGGTATCTCTGAATCAGGCATTATTTGATTGATACTCTGGGACACCATATCCAAAAGACATAGTTAACTAATGTCACAAGCAGAAGAAAGATGATATTAGTGCAAGATGTAATATCGTAAGATAGTGAGGTTGACCTTGATTGAGTTTTCCGGTTCTGAATGAGCTAATGAAGTAGGTATCTGAACATTTTCTGATGTAGCACACTCTTCAACCCCTCCTTCAACATTCTACACCACATTAAAAGATAGTCAGTATTGACTGAGCCAATTGCTTAACATGTCTCGCTTTTGTACACTTCTATCTTCTGACTCTTTCTTGTGGTGTATGAGTGAATAAATGCATTCTATATCATATATTATACATGATGATGTCTACCAAGCATGAGCAGGACTAAATCCAATAGATATGGTGGATTTGCTGGGCATTCAAATACGAGATGGAAGACATATGCGTACCTGTTTCAAGTCTGATGAAGTAATGGATGTCAATCCTTGGTCATTCTTTTGGTCTCCCATTTCTTGACAACCAATTTGTTGGGTGGTTTCTCTATCAGAATCATTTGTGGATTTGATAATATCTTCCAACCTCGTCCATAATGCACTATACTCGATAGTAGATCCTATCATATCATTAATGCCAAATAAATTATTTAAACAAACAATTGTATGCAAATAAATTATATCTATTTGAAAAAAAATTATTTGAAGTATATAAAATATTAACGTTGATTATTATATGAAAATATACAAAATACTTAATTTTAAGCACTTGAAGAATGTGGCATGCAGAAAATATTATTGAACTGCATCCATATATTAAGTTTAGAAACATATTGAGGAGTAAGAATTCATCACGGATGGTTATATATCTTGCCGACAAAAAATGTGCAAGTAATATAAATGTGTATATGTGTATATATATTGTAGTACCTTCAGATAGTTTGTCACGCATTTCCCGAGGAGTAACAGAGGAAGTAAGAGATAGTTTGGGACATCGTTGCACAATAATGTGCCTCGCGGTGTGGAAAGCGATGGATGGATTGACAGAAGTGAGTGAGGGAAGGTTCCAAAGTACAACATATTCTAATCCCAATGCAGGAGTGACAACCTCGCATGTATGTGTTGTGTCATATTGTTCATCTCCAAATACTTGCTCAAGCGCAGATGTATCTTCTATGTACAATACCTTTATATTTGGAATCAGTCGACATGCAAAGATCTTAGGGAATACGCATTTCAACTTATGGCAACGTTTGATGTAGATTGAAACAAGTCTTAGGAAGACAGGTTTCGGAGAAGTCGACACATTGTGATCATCTTCTTCAATGATTTCCTCCAACTCATTACAGTCTGTAATGTCAAGTTCCCTCAGTTGTGGGAGTTCTTTCAAGATGCATGAAGGGAATACTTCTTTCAAATTTCCACAATTGGATAGGTTTAACCGCTGAAGATGTTGGAGGAGTAAAGAATTTTTGGGACCCCTCCATATATGCCTCAATTTGGGTAGATCACGCAAATTAAGGTTATTTAACCTCAAGTTTACTTGTTGTCTATTGATAGGAAGCTTTCCGACATCAAAAACAACTTCTACTTCATCATTATGTCGAATAAATAGGTCCTCTAAAGTTTCTAGTGGGGCCACGACCACCTTTAATAGGTCCTGTAGAAGTAAAAAAGAAATCACATTAAGCAATTAAAATTTGAAAATTATTGTGTCACCTAGTATAGACAATTAACAAATTATCATTGTGGAAAAACTGGATAAATGCACGTGTTGTAATTATATAAAATAATATGGCCAGAGAAAGTTTCCTTCATGTACAATTGTGAATATATAGTACGATAATATATAGATTTAATATTTTTTATATTGATGATGATAGATTATATGAATAGTTTGATAATATTAGAAATAGAGAAATAGTACCTCAGAAGACCTTTGATCGCCCTCCTGTCTCAATTCATCATACACATCGCAATGATTGATAGACTTGATATTAAACCGCAGACAATTTCTCAACCCTAGCTCTTCCAAAGAAGGCCATGTTGGATGATAATTTTTAGGACAAATACTAATGATATTTTGCATGTTTTCAAGTTGAAGATACTCCAGAGCAGAAAACTCAATTATTTGAGGGCTATTCAGATTCAAGCCTTCATAAGGAGCTTGCCCAAACAAACTTCTCAATTCATCATTTCCATATACACGTAAATATTCCAAATGTGAAAGGCTCTTTGTGAAAGAGATAGGCATTAAGTATTCTAGTTGCTTGCAATTGCCTATTTTAAGTTCTTTCAATTTGGGAAATGCATTTTCGTAATTCTGATATTCACTTCCATCAACTATTTCCTTCACATCTTCTGTCAGTATGTGCTCAAGTGAATCACAACTTTCTATACAAAGTCTCTCCAAGTTTGCAAAAAGGCCATGTGGAGGATGACCACCATGCAAAGTTTTCAAATGCTTCACCTTTGAGAGAGTTAGACGAGTCAAATTGGAGATGATTCCAAGTTGACTTGGATTAGTTGCATGGCCTATCATGCATTCTATCCCATCTGAATCATGAATAGCAAGACGAGTCAAGTCATTCATACTTCCTCCTATTGTTTGACACAAGTCAGGAATGATATTTTTCCAACTTCTAGGGATTTTCCTCAAAGAAAGAGTCTTTGCCCTTCTCATCATATCCTTATTTGTTGCAGTTGAAATACAATTCTCAAAATCTTCAATATATAAATTTCTTTCAACAAAAGAATGACAACAAGATATACGTCTATGATACCAAGAATCTTCATCATCACTGCCAAAATGTATGCAATAGCTCTCCAGTGTTGGTGTGGCAGTGCTAATTTTATCAAAAAATTCAGCACTATTTTTATTTTGGTGTTCCCAATCTTTTCCACTATTGCCACAAAAATATAATACTTCCAATTGTGAACATCCTCCTATTACTTCAAAAGGATTCTTTTGAATTCTGCACCAACGCAAATCTAGTAATCGCAATTCATTTAGTTGTATGGTGCACTTTGGCAATTCATTGAAAGAACACCTCCACAATGCAAGAGACTCAAGTCTTTTTAAGTTCCCTATGAAAGAGATATCACCTAACTGGCAACCATATAGCATTAGACAACACAAGATATTTGCCCTGGGGGCCCAAAGAGGCAGTGGAAGAACTACTAAATCTTGCATAAAATAATAGGTATTTTTAAGAATAAAAATTTTGAGCTTCTCCATATCATTGAAAAAATCATTGGGTATAGTCACAGAAGACTGTGACTTTATGGAGACATAAAGAAAATTAAGTTCAGGACAATGTAACTTGTTGGGACATTTATCAATATCTTCAAACCATAAATATCTTACTGCATGGTCCTTCATTATCATATCTTCTTTTAATTGTCCCATAATCAATTTGCTCTCCTTCTTTGCTATCCATAGAGCTACATCACGAACCAAGTCATGTATCTTAACATGACTACCATCTTCATGAGCTTTTAGGAGTAAACAAGAATCTGCAAGCTTCTTTATGGCCCTATTGATTACTTGGGTCCCTGCCCATTGATATGAGGGAATCTCTCCAGCTAGACCAAGCCCTAGTCCGATTATGGTTAATTGATCAATCTGAATTTGATAATCTTCTGGATACACAGAACAAAATAAGAAGAGTGATTTAGCCACTTCATTCTCTAAATTATCATAACTTAGCCGAAGACATCCATATGTACCTCTGAGACCTTCTTCAACATCTATCCAACGTGAACTTCTCAATGTTTTCAATGCTGCAACCCACTCATCATAAGGTTTATCCTTCAAAGCACTGGCTACTGCTGCAATTGCAATAGGTAAACCATCACATTTTTTTGTAATTTTTTTTGCTATATCCTTCCATTTATCAAAGCAATCATCAGACAACTCAGCATGCTTCTTAAAAAGGGCCCAAGAATCATTCCCTTTTAAACCCTCCAGGGGAATTTTTTTTTGGCAACCCATCGATTTACATACATGCAAATTGCGGGTGGTTATAAGAGTAGTGCAGCCCATTTGATCGTTATTAGTAGGAATCCCTATGTCCTCAAAATTAAGCTTCTCCCATACGTCATCCAGAATAATCAAAAACCTTTCTCCACTGCTCAATCTCATGGACAAGCGTCTAGCTCTCACTTGTGTCTCTTCCTCTTTCAATTCCAACTTTAGTGGGTTGGCAATCTCGCTCTGAATTTTTCTTACATCAATGGTATTAGACACAACTACAAAGACTACTTTATCAAAAAATTTCTCTGCTTCTTTGCCCACTTCTTTTACCAAAGTTGTTTTCCCAGACCCGCCCATGCCACACAATCCTATCATATGAATCTTATCATCCTTAATAGCCCTTAAAAGATCCTCACAAGCCCCCTTTCTACTGTCAAAGGCCACAAAATCTTGTGAAGAAAAGTAATGCATACCTACAAGCGAAGTAAGTCGAGAAAACTCCGAGAATTCAACTTCATTGTGCTTTCTAATTTCATTTGTCTTCTCCTCAAGCTGCTTTGCCAGATTATAACGACTGATCAAGTCTGGACAATGCTTAAGGCAAGACATCTTGTTTCTTTTCTTGGTTTTCTCTTGCAGCTCCACCACTTGTGCCATCAGAGAGTCTGCTTTGTGTAACCAATTCTCAACTTTAGGAACAACCTTATGAGTATTCTTCCTCTCATTTTCAGCATGAGTTAGAACCTCTTGTATTTTTGATTGCAGGTTCTGTTGTTTTGTTTCAAGCTCTTTGACATACTTGTTGAAGCGGAAAGGATAGCAAGCTTGAAGTATTGCTTCATCTACTAACTTGGTCAATATATTAGCCGTAACAGAAGCAACAACATCCATTGCCCCTGAAACCACACAATGTAGCCTAGGTGATATAAGTTGAAGGTGCCATGAAAATAAATAATTGGTATATGACTTAATTAAACACAGAATTATGTAGAGCAACTCTAATTACACACAAGATCAGAACATTATTTTGAAAACGCCTTACCTGTTATTTTGTGAGGAAATTCAGCAAAAGATGAGTCTGATTATGGTTGTTCTCCAATCCAACTGCAGCTATGAAACAAGGGAAAAAACACAAGAACATAAGAAATAAGGCATGGTTGAATTTGTAAAATCCAAACACAACTCTACTCCTTTTTCTCAGAAATTTCGATCTCCTTGTAACCTAGCAACACAAACACTACTTTCAGTTATTCTAATATTGACTTTAATTTCAGCACTAATGCATACATCAGCCTCTACGTTTGTTTTTTTTACCTCTAAGTTTACTTGCTGTGAAAATTACAATTGCTTAAGCTTTCACGTCAAGTTCCTTATTTATACTATGACCTCACAGTCACTTTACACTCATCCACAGCCTCCTTCAACATTCGATTTTCACAGCCTCACGGTAATTAAAAAACCGTATCTAGAAATTTCTGTTTCTCCACCTATACTTGTAGCTTCAGAAAACAGTGAGAGATTTAATCAATAACTCCAATATTAGTGAGTTAGCTGAATGTTCTGTACAAAATTGCGAACACTAACCAAGATCAAGAATCATGATATATATACAAGATCATAACTAAATGAATATACAGTAAAAGGGTCATAGACTAGGAAATGCAACAACAAACCCAGACCACATACTAACCTCTGTATTGAGCTTTAATTTCGATCTTCTCCAAACGAAGCAACCAAATTGAATCTCAGGACACCAGAAAGTAGCAGTGATATCTCTCTCTCACACACTTTCAGTACAGAGACTTTGAGACTTTACCAAGTGAGACTTTATTCATACCAAGTCTCTCCTTTTCACCCGAGGGTCTTCAAAGTCATGCTTTTAATAATTTAATACAAACAGGTGCAAGCACATATTATAAAATATTAAGGGAGTGGATAAAGCTCGTCATAATACATTTTGTCATGTTTCAGAGGTTGTTTGTATAATATGAAACCCTGCAATTATATATCGCCATCTGAAAGAATCTTCTCATCATTAGGGCCCTAGGATCAATGCAATTATAGTCATTGTCAAATTACATTTTATTAATGTCTTATATTTCTTAGTTTTTTCTTTTTATTTATTTTTACTTGATCAGTCGCTACTTCCGTTGTCCTGATCTGGAGCTCCTTTATTTACTTTTTAAATTCTTTTGCTTTCAAGGCAGTGGTGGGTCAATGGTCATGCATGGAGGAGCCCAAATTTTGGAATCCTATGCAGTAGCAAAGGCTATAATAAAGAGTCCCAACCACCCATCTGCATTATTTATCCTCTTTTTCATCTTCTTCTTCGGAAGATTCAAACAAAATCACGATTATTTGTTTGTAATATGAGATAAAACAAAATAAAACAAATAATTTTTTTATTTATTCAAATCAATTTCATCTTGAATAAACAAACTGAGATTTTCAGAACAAGTAAACGCGGCTTTTTTTTTTTTTAAAGATGTCGCAACCAGTAAAAAAAACCAAAATTCTAAATGATAAAAAATATTTATAAAAAATGCTATGCTTTTTTTTTTTTAAAGCCTGGACCAAAATACTATACTTAACATACTCTTTGATGCAAAGAATCTCCCATCAAATCACTCTGCCACATCTAACATACTTCTTCGATTCTAAACGTAAGACTTTTATACTAGTATGTGTAAGGGTATTATATTTAAGACCAGAGGAATATTTATTTTTTATTGAGAGAAAAGTGAACCTGTCCACGCCATGAAATAAGTTGAGCTTTCCCTCTCTCTTTTCCGTAATAATTCTTCCACCAATCTAAAAACTTGTCTCCCCATTTTACCTTCACATGCGAAAACTATAAGGTTGTGTCTGGAAAAAGTATTTTGTTTGCGTTCATTTTTTTTCATGAAATTGGCGACACATTAAAGCTTTAGTAAAAAGATATTTGTACCAAAAAATTTGTAAAATTTAATATATTCAGTATTTTAAACTATCTTTCTAATTCTATTTATAAGGTTAAGAGTTCTTGTTGTCCTATTTATGAGTTAGATCATTAAATTTTTAACATGAATGTAGTATTTCACCTTTTTATTTATTATTTTCTAAATTATTTTCACGAAAATTGTTTATATTAAATATAAGTGAAGTTAAAAAGTTGTTAAATTTTAAGTAAGAGTTAACCAGATTTAATGTTTTTCCTAGCTTCTATGAATAGTAATAAATAAAAGTTAAAATAATACATTCATGTTAAAAATTTAATTATGGAAAAAAATTTCTGAGCTTTTATAAATAGGACCATAGAAACAGTAGTTTGAAATTAGGACTTAGTGGGTGTTTGAATTATCTTTTTAGAAGTAATTTTACGCACTATGAGATAAACATGTGAGATAAATTTTATTTCGACTTATATAAAAATATCTTGTTAAAAGTGTTTTTGATAATCTCCAAACACTAGCGAGCAATAAGTTATAAGAAAATGTTCAGTGCGTCTCTTTTAACCATAATATTATCCATCAATGGTAGCATGTGTTTAAAAAAGTATTTTGATTTCTCTCTCTCTTTTTTTTTTATGAAGTTGCTGATATATTAAAGTTTTAATTTAAAACATATCTGTAATTAAAAAAAAAAAGGGTAACGTTGAATCTCTTAGCCAGACAGGGTCGCATTTGATTATTAGGTGGAGGAAGCATCATGAAAAAGAGAGATGGGAAGGTGAACTCGCTCATGACATGAACAAGTTCACTTTTCTCTCTGTCAGGGCAATAGAGTGATGCGATGGGAGGCGAACTCGTGCGGAAGCGAATTCTTCACATTTTAAGCTCGCTCTTAATTTTCGGTTTTTTTTTTTTTTTTTTACTGTTTGTTTGCAGCGTTTTGATAAGAAAGCAAGGTAAATGCAGAGGTCGATGAGCACTAGAGCTGAGAGACTGGGGGGGCCTCTGAAACGACGGTGCCAGAAGCAGTTGGCACATATCCATCGTTGGATTAAAAAAATCAACGTTTCGCATTTAATATTCTGAAAAATGAATATACACATTCTCTCTCCTATTTATTTAATATTATTAAAAATAATAGAAATGAGATTTTGAGAAGGAAAAGAAAAAGATTCCCAGAAGATTCTTCTAGTTTATTAACAACTTATACATTATATTTTTGTGATGTGTTGATAAAATATATTGTTAATACCTACCGAAATAATTATTAATAATTATATTTTAAATTGTTGACGGCTACTCTTCCAATTATTAATGCATGTTGTAAAAAATAAGGGATAATTCGATAATTAAACAAAAAAAATTTCTTATAATGAGATTTATGGAGACTTTAGAATAATGTGATAATTTTAAGAAATTTTTTGTGTATTTAATTCTCTTAGATAAAATCTTATTGTAATTTTTTCAACAAAAAAAAAAACTACTCCTCCGGTCCTTATTATAAGACCCCATTTGACTTTTTATTTGGTCCTAATTATAAGACCCCAATCTATTTTTTCTCTTATATTTATGCATTTTTTTCCAAGATAATCCTTCTAATAATGATAGTTTTAACCAATATACTTAATTAGCAAGGATATTTTAGGAATGACAACACTTATTTATTATAAATAACCAACTTAACTTACTTCCTTAATCTCCTCAAATAAGTCAATTGGGTCTTATAATTAGGACCGGAGGAGTATTGTCCCTTTCTTGGCGTGATTTTGAACTACAAAAATTATTACCGAGCACTATAATTTATCATGTGCAACAGAGCTATTGAAAAAAAAAAAAAATAGAAGGTACTTTGAATTTTCTCTTTATAAAAAGGGGATAAAAAAGCGAATTATCTGAACTCTCACGCGGGAATGAAATTTTGGACAAGAGGGTTTATAATACGTTTGCATAATTCTCTTTAGCCATTATCTTTTTGAAATTTTTTACACTAACTCTTATCCTAATTATAAAAATTTATTTATAGATTATAAATAAAATTTTATAATTAAAACATGAGGTATTATTTATTTTCACATGACTAGTGACTATTTCCGTGGTCCTAGCTATTGCGTCTTTTCGTGCTAGTAAAAAAAAAAAAAAAGGTGTTGCTTCTTTTCATTTCTTTAATTGTTTTGGTTTTGCCACAGTGGTGAGTCATGTATGGTGCGGCCACATTTTGGAGTCCTATGCAGTGGCTTGGGATTTTTTCGCCAGGGACGGCTGATTTGTGACTTTTAAAGATGGGAAAATTTCACTGTAGGACCGCAGAAGACAATTAATTTCAAAGAGCCCCCAAAACTTTCTGAAACCTCACTATAGGACCAAGGGACCAATCTGATATTAATTTTTAGAGTGAGATTACAATAATACCCTTCCCTTTTTATTTTATTAAAAAATAATATTTACCGGAGTTACTATTCCAGCACCGGAGGTCGGAGGTCTGGCCACCGGCGCTCAGGTGGCCGTCGTCGGGTCCGGTCACCGGTGGCCGAAACAGTAACTCCGGCGGGACCTCGGTGGCCGGAGTTTTTTTGTTTAAAACAAAGTGGCCAAGGGAGGGTTTGAACTCAGGACCCCTTGGCACACCAAAAGACTTGTAACCACCAGGCCAAGCAACCCATTTAATCATAAAATGCAAATAAAACTATATATAACAAAATAAACGCAACAGTCCAAATGTAAGTGAACAAGTGAAATTAGACGATTTACAAGTGGAATTCAGAAATTTGCAATAAACATTAGGCAATTTACAAATAACATAATAGAAGTCATAACCCAAAATGCAAGTATTTAAGTGCAAATGAGCAAGTAAAATTTGAAGATTTACAATAAAAGTTTATGGATTTACGACCCAAATTTGGCAAACACAAGAGAATTCACAATCCAAAATGTAAGTGTTTGAGTGTAAATGAACAAGTGAAA